GGGGGGGGGGGGAGAAGAGAGGGCGGCTTGAAGGAGGGTTTGCTGTATCGCCGAGGCACGTACATATCGCTCTGGCATCTCTCGTTATCGCACACGGTGAGCGAGAGAGCAAGCTGTGCGAAATCGCGCGTGTGTGCCTCCTCACTCGCCACGTACGCGCGCACACATACATATACACGAGCATTACACGATGCACAAGGACGCGCTCATGTGCACGTGTGCCGGGACAGGTGGTGATTACCGGCGCGCGTGAATTAGACGCGCCGCCTGTTAGTCGCGTCGCGTCAAACGCTGTTCGCACCTGCGCCCGCGCAATGCGCTTTCCCTATTTTTCGTGGCTGAAAATTTGTCGGATTATTCCCGACGCGGTTATCTACGCTCCTTTGACGTTGCTAGGTGTAAAAGGGAGACACAGGTAACGCGGATCAGCCGTTTCAAACGGAAAGCGCCGCCGCCGCCGCTTTCACCGCTCTGGAGAACGCGGCGCGCGGGAAAATAGGATTTTTATCAGACTGGTTAGCGAGAGCAATCGAGAGGGAGAGGGAAGAGAGAGAGAGAGAGAGAGAGAGTAGTTCGTTGCGGTCTGGCTTTTAGCACTCTGCGCGCTCGTGTGATCATTGCGCGGCCGCCTGCACGAGGTTTGTAACGCGCGCACTAGTTATCGTTTACAGGGCGGCAAGCGCATCGCGGCGATAGGTGTGCGGTCATGTAATCCCGCGACAAAACAGCAACACGTTTGTCGCCGTTTGACGGGTAGGGGATGGAGTTGGGTGGAGAGACAAAGGGAGAGGACGAGGGCGTCCGATTAAAAACGTTTTGCCGATACGACGCGGAGGTCGAGTCCACGCCATTATCAGCGCCAATTTCGGATTAAATTTGTATTGAAAAAAAAGAAAGGAAAACAAATAGTGGAGAGAGAGAGAGAGAGAGGAAGATACAGCGCGAGGGTGGAGAGGAGAGCGACCGACTCTCTACCGGCGGTCCCTACGGAACCGTGGCTTTGTTCCCAGCTATTACTCGCCCCACCTTCCGCAACCCTTAGGATATTATTATATTTCCCCGTCTGCCGCCGTCCCCCTCTTCTCGCCCCCCGCGAGATGTTCGACTTCGTGGCCGCGGGAGTCGTACCCATCGTATTTATTTTATTAAACCGTTCTCTCCCCGAGCTATATCTCCTGCCTCCCCCCTCTTCCCCCGTGTCCCAAAAGTTCCGAGCTCGAACATAAGATAATCATTTTCCGGGCTCGTTGCAGGGGGTATGTCGGCTATTTACCTTGGCTTTTCGTTAAGGATCTTACGGACGAATTCTCATGGTGGCTTTTTCTGCCGATTGGAAACGTGGCGATAGTTGTGGTGATTTCGCGCGGCACCTCTTGAGACAAAAATTTTGATCCTACTTTCGATCTTAATATTTCACTCGAAGCCTACTTCGGTACCTTGAAGCCTACATTGATTTCTTTTAATTCCACTTAACCTACGACTTTGCCGAAAGATCCTCTTTAGACCCTACAAGCGGCATTTTGTGCGTTTTCTGCCACTTAGTGGAGTACTAAGTGTATATTGAAAGGTAAAAATTTCTACAAAATTAAATTCAGAAATATATTAAGATATAATATGTTGTCTTGACACTTGAAAATAGTGGCTGCGGACTAAGTGAAAAGCAGCTAAAGTAACATAACGACAATATGTTAACACGCGCGAGTACGTTAAGAATTTTACATAAAAATTTCTACGTGCAGATTGATTTTAACAATAACAAATAAAAAATATGTACAGATGTTTATCGTGTACAGATATCAGAAAATTCAAATTGAAAGTAGAGTTGGAATTTCGACTCGAGATCTTGATATATCTCCCTTCCTCTGCCGCCCTTTCCCCTCTTCCCTCATCATGTTCGTATAACTCTTTTCATCGTAGTGAAATTTTCGAGATGTACCATTTTTCTAATGGAAATGCCCGTTGTAATTTCAGCTTGCGAGCATACGGTGGGTTGGGCGAGTCGCGTGACTTTCTTTGTGGCTTAAAATAGATTTTGATTCCGGCGACGTTTTGCGCAGCGGGCAGCGCGTGCGCACCAAGGCGCTGGTTCGCCAGTGAGAAATTCGCGAGCACCCGCTTATTATACAGCCCCGTCGTCGGGCACAAAAGTATCGCGGAGAGCCGCTGGGTGTAATAAAGTCTATTTCAGCCGGTATTATGTCAAGTTAGCCTCGTTAGCGGAACTCGAGCTTTTTAAAAAACACTCGGCCGCCGTGGTTGCTGTCGGCTCGTTGAACATGCACGGCGGAAAGTGCGGCCGTCCCCTCCCTCCCGTTCGTGTCCCGCACCCTCTCGTGCTTTCCTCTGCCTCAGAATACCACCCCCGCAGCATGCAATTATCCTTGCGCATTTGCGGACAGGAGTCGGATGCGTACGTGGATACGACCGTCGGTGACCGCGTAGTCTCATTTTTTTTCTCCCTCCCCACATCCTCGACGCTCGCGCTTCTATGACTCTCGGAAAGACTTAACCCTCTCGACGTCGCAGCGCACTCGTCGGACTACTACGACGTCGAGACTATTGAATCAGAGAATTATACGCGAACTGCCGGCGGCGTGAGTTTTCGAGAAGATGTCGCGATATGATATGTAATCTCTTTTCTCTTTCTTTTCCTCTCTCAATATATTGAGTTCAAATAGAGATTATATTGGGCCAGTAAGAAAATAGGATCTTGTAGCCGAGGAATAGATTGACATTATGCAATAATTATTGACTATCCTTTCATTTCATATATATATATATATATATATATATATATATATATATATATATATATATATATACTGTTTATATTTTAACAACTGTGAAATATATTATTAAAAAATTTGCTATTCTAAAGAACTTTGTTACATCTCCTCAGCAAGATAGACTATATTAACATTTTATTTCTGCATTACTAGAAAAATAATCAAATTGAAAATAATTTATATGGAAGAGAATTATTATGTATATATGTGTATGTGAATTTATTTCAGTGAGAACACATTAGATTCACTCTCCATTTACGAGCAAAAATGTTCACTCAATGACTCAAGATGGAGAATTCACTCGATGCGAGTGGAAAGCCGTTCGACTTGGAGTGATTCGTCTATCTCTCTCTCATTCCATTTCTCCAATCAAATTTTACTTTAAAAAATCCAAAGGATACAATCTCAATCCAGAAAGTGCAACAAACTATTTGTAGCATATTGTTGCTAAATATCGTGCACGTGATCAGCGTACGAAACGATCTCGATTGGATAACGACCCGAGCTCACCGTGATCGTTACAATTTTCAGGTATGGTTCCAAAACCGGCGGGCGAAATGGCGTAAGAGCGAGCGACTGAAGGAGGAGCAACGCAAACGCGAAGGTAGCAGCGGCGGCAACGGCGGCGGTAGTTCCGGCAGCGGTGGCGGTGGTGGTGGTGGTGGCGGTGGCGGCGGTGGTGGTAACGTGGAATCCTCAACTTTAACCGCGCCGACATCCTCGTCGGCGGGCCCGAGTCCCACGGGGAACGACCCAGAAGGCACAACCAGCAGCAGCGCCGCCGACACGGAGGACGCCGTGCCGGAGGGTGGTGGCGGCTCCAGGAGCCCCAGCACGACTTCCGCCTCGGTCAGTCCGCGACCCCAGCCGAGCCAGCCGTCCCTGGGTGGCGTCTCGACGCCACCACCGAACCCCATAAGGGCGCCACCGCCGCCAGCGAGCACCGTGGGGGGCCTCGGACCGCCTGCCGAGAGGTGAGCTCTTAGCTTCGTTTGTATTTACGTCTTTAGGAAACATCTTCCTTCTTCTCCCTCGGCTCCTCTCTTTCTCACTCTTTCTCTCTCTCGCTCCCTGCCTTCGACACTCTCTCCCGCTCCTGTCGGTGTGCGCTGTCGCCCCCACGGCCTCCCCTTATAAACTCCCGGACGATTTCAGCGAGCGGGTGCAAGCGCCGCTGAACACGCCGGGCCGGATGTTCGATACGCGCCATTAAACCACTACTCCTCGTGACGACGCTGCTCCCGACGTTCACCGGTTAAGCCACTTCTTCCCTCCCGTGCCGGCCGCCCCCGCTCCATGACCTCTTCCGCGCGTCGCGCCGTCATCGCCACTCGTATAATCGCGATAATCGTCGCCTCGTTAAACTGCTGCTTCCACGAGAGGCGGTGGTGGCGGCGGCGGCGGCGGCGGTGGTGGTAGTGGTGGTGATGGTGAAGTGGAGGAGAGGAGAACGCGGCACTTTTCACGCGCGTGTAATCGCGCTCTGTCTTCTTTCTCGCTGCGAACGACAACGTTTCCGAGGTCGAAGTTGAGTCCCGCGGTGCCCAACGGTGTCGAGTCGACGTTTACGACTCGCGTGTCGGATAGAAGAGAAGCTTTGCGCGTGCAATGAGGGAGTTGACGCGTTTCGCGACGGGGTGAGAAGTTGACGACTGGCGAGAGGATGTTACTGTTCTATGGTGCCCCGAGGCGAGGAAAATTCGCGATATCTCAGAAGTTACGGATGCGTGTCAAAAATATTTATATGACATGAAATATTTCGCAAAGAGATACAAGAAGAACAGAGAAAGAGATAGACAGACAAAGAGAGAGAGAGAGAGAGAGAGAGGGAGGGAGAAGAAGAGAATAGGAGAATACACTCGTTTGCCAAACAGTTTAAATCACGGACTGATTATCGAAATAATTTTATAGCTAGCGATTATACCGAGGTGTTATATTTACCTGTATTTTTGTGACACCGGCGTGTATTTCATGTTAATAAAAATTATTTTTATAAAAATCTTGGTTATTACGGTATTGGACAATTTGGGCGCCCTGCGCCCTGAAAAAGTGAACTGAAACGTTCACGAATTCGGAACCAAACACAAGGAAGACGCGGTCCAAACCCGAGAAATGAACAAAGTATTGGACAATACCGCAAAAGCCTAAAATGCCAAGTGTTCAAACTGTTTTGCAAACGAATGTATATTCGCCACTCACAGACGCACACATTCATCGTTCGAGGAATATCGGGAAAGGGCGATTTATCCCGCTCACGACTTGTCTTTCCGCGACCGGGCTATTCGTTTATAATCCCCGAGACGAGACGAGACGCGGGAGTCGAGCTCTCTACGGATCGACGTGAAGGCAAGAACAATGCCGAAAACGTAGTAGACACCACGTAATACACCGTGAGGCGCGTTAGTAGACACCGCCGATGTCGGCGGGACGAGCTCACGGGGCGGCGGTGGCAGCGGCAGGCAGAGGGATGAGGGCGACCGGGGGCAGACCGGGGTCGAGGGAAAAGGTAAAGAAGAAACGGCAGGAAGATACTCCTTCGCCGTCCCCGCAGTTGTAATTTATTTAAAACCGCTCGCCGTAAATATATCCCCATCATTTATTCAGAGGCACGGTAGCTCCTCCGGAGGCCGCGGCAGCGGCGCTGCGGAGGAGCACGAGGGGACACGGGGGCGGCTGTAAGCTCCGCGTTCCTTCTTACCTTAGCTGCTACCCCCCACGGCTACCTTAAGAGCGGCTTCTCGCTCTCCTCGTGCTGTGCAGGGGCGGATCCGCCGCGCAGCACGTCGCGAATGCGTTGTGTCTTGTCGTGAGACGGATCGCGCGCGTCTTTCGTCTCGCGCGATTCTCCCAGTGTTGCGAAACGAATAAAGCTAAGGGTATTGCTTCGAGAAACGACGAGGTGGCCGACGGCGAAGAGGTAAGAGCGCTAGGAACGGTCACAGATATGGGCACTGAGCTCTTAGCGAATGAACACGAGTCGAAATTTTAGCCCTACTTTCGAACTGATCTTCCTAACATTTGTAAATTCTGATGACTCAGTGTATGTTTGACATATATGTAAATTGAAGTCTTTAGCACCTTTAAATGACAGAAAAGGCACACCAAAAACGGCATTTGTAGGTTCTAAAAAGAATTCGCGGCAAAGCTAGTAGGTCAAATCAAATCAATACAGGAGAATTCAGAGTATCAAAATAGACGTTAAGTGGGAAATTGAGGATATCGAGAGTAAGATGAAAATATCGACTCGTGACTCTAAGATGTTATAACTCTTCCCGGGCCGAAATTTTGATCTTATCCTCAACCTCAATATCCCACTTAACTACTTTGATGCCTACTTTGATGCCCTGAGGCCTATGACCTCTTTCAATTCTATTTAATCTACTAGCTTTGCCTAGAGGGTCCCTTTGAAATCTACAAGTAACATTTTATGCAATTTTTGCCTAAGTAGGATCTCAGTTTCCATGTATATTAAAGATACATTGATCCTTCAGAGCATACAGTATAGAACATTAGTAAGTAAAGCTAAAACTTTGACCTGAGGTCCCCTATGAGAAGTACACTGTTGACTCTAAGACCGTGTAACTTTACATGTGTAGAGTTCAGTGGCGGTTTGCGCATAAGTGAGCGAAAAAATTTGAATAACGACGCGCATACATGGCTTCTCTTCCTCCCGCGTGAGCGACAGTGATATCAATCTTGCTACATCGTCTCGTAATCCGCGCTTCAGCCTTCGTCACCCTTTGTGCGTCGTAACTCGACACCGTGGCACAAGTGCCGAGCGACGCGTCGATCAACGGCGGCCGGGTCGCACGCGTGCACCGATAAGTCGCGTCGAATCACCGGCGCGTCCTCGTCCACCACGTGAACGGCGTCGGTAGTCGTCGGTGCACGCGCGCATCTGTGCACATGTATCTACACGCGCATATACGTGATATACGTGTATGTGTGTATGTAGTATATGTGTGTATGTAGTATATGTGTGTACGTATGTGTCTGTGCACGAAAGGCAAACGAGCGCACGTAAGCAAGGTGCACGGTAGACTACGCGGCTAATTGCCGCTAATTATCGCGCTTACCGCGGTTCGGCTCTTCCTCTCGCCGCCGTCGCCGCCGCCGCCACCACCGCCGCCGCCGCCGCCACCGCCGCTGCCGCCGCCGCCGCCGCCGCCGCCGCTGCCGCCGTACCTTCCACGGCGTCGTCGCCGTCGCTACCGTCGTCTCCGACGCCCTGTTCGTCGTGGTTTTCCACTCACCCCCCGCCCCCGGCTCCTCCTCGCTTCTACCCCCCAGGCAACCACCTGAAATCCGCTACTCTGGCCTGCCGACGAACTGCAGCGTCTTTCCC